TTGTGGATGTGAGTCCATTTTCATGTTTATGATTTACACACTAAATGGATTTTCTTGATATCTGCGAGTTGAAAGATTTGTGAGTTAATATTTTATATTTGAATTGCCATTGATAGTTATAATATTGATATTACCTCTGTTTAAATGTTGCAGTTTCAAGTATATCTAGATCAATATATATCTTCGTTGCCGAACAAGATGCAAGGTAAAAGGTGTCTGTAAGAGTAGCAAAGAGTTATGAAAAAACATGACAAATACTAAATAATATAACTGATAGTAAATTATATTCTTACTCATGTATTTCTTCACTATTGTTGTGGCCAAGACAATAACAGGATTGATCACTTCATCAAGAAGGTGGTCTTCATTTATGTCTTCAGCTTTATCAGCATATAAAACAACTTTTACATTATTGCCATTGTATATAAAAATACCAAGTATAAGATTTGATGTTGAAATTTATTTACCCATAAGATCAAATGTGTTCATGACTTTTTTTTTTACCTAAGATCTTCAATGTAAAGGTCACGTTTTTTAATGTCATATGTTTTGTTATGCAAGCGGACCTATGCAATATTAGTCATCGATTTTAAAGCCCCAATAAAATCTATGAAGATTTCAAACATCATTTTAATTAGGGTTAGTGACTAATTGTAGTGTCAATAATGAAAAATACTCGAGAAATTATGCCTTAGCAATTTAAGAAATAATTGAGTTGGTCATACCTGTCAAGACAGCATCATATCGGATTCTTGCATTGAGCTGATTAAATGATGCAAAAGTAAAATATGATGAAGGGAATGGGGCCAAATCTTCATGAAGCTCTTAGATTTGGGTGTTCCTTGTAAACATCCCAATTATATTTGAAGGAATGGCGTTCAAATTGGACTTTTTATCACTTATTTGAAACTTACTGATTCGATATAAAGATCCTTCTTTCAATTGGGGTGGAAATTGTGGCACATTTGGTGTTCTTACCATAAAATGCAACGTATTTCTCTATTGAATGAAAATGTTATTACCAATTTGTAACTCCAAGAATGCAAAATGCAATTTTAATATTAAAATTATTTTTCAATAGTTAACCATACAAAGATAGAAGCAAAATTCTATTATCCTCAGATGTGAAGTACATAAATTTTGAAATGAAACAAAAATCTATGTTTTGTTAATATTTAAATAAAAAAAATTAGTGTTTTATTAATATCTCAGAATTCTGCCCACCAAATGAAAATATAAATCAATTTAGATTAATAGAGGTTGGAGGAATTAAAAATATGTATGGTATCAAAAAATTAT